GTCGGTAAATTCTAAAGCAAACGGATCATTGAAAATGTCTTGAAGTTTGTCAAAATCAACTTTATGGTCTGCTTTTACCTTTTCCGCTTTGGTTGGATTCCAAGTGAACTTCATTTACAAATAACAAACTTCTTTGACCGCCGCGACGATCTTTTCGACGCTCGGAAGTGCCGCGACTTCTAAGTTTCGCGCATACGGCATCGGTGCTTCGGCACAGGAAATTCGTTTGATCGGCGCATCGAGATAATCGAAAGCATTTTCCATCACTTGATGCGAAATCTCTGCGCCGACGGATGCAAATGCGTGTGATTCTTCGGCGACGACCAAGCGATTAGTCTTTTTAACGGACGCAACGATCGTATCGATGTCGAGCGGTTTGATGGTGCGCGGATCGACGACTTCGACCGAAACATCGAAATCCTTCTGCATAATTTCCGCCGCTTTCAAAGCCTGCGGAACGGTGAACGAACGCGCCACGATGGTGCAGTCCATTCCTTCGCGCTTCACGTCGGCAACGCCGAGCGGAACGAGAAAATCTTCATCTTCGGGAACTTCGGATTTCATTCCATACATCGTTTCCTGTTCGAGAAAAACGACCGGATTGTTGTCGCGAATCGCCGATTTCAAAAGACCTTTCGCATCAGCAGCGGTCGAAGGCATCACGACTTTCAAGCCGGGAAAGTTCGCATAAAATGCTTCGAGTGCCTGTGAATGCTGGCTTGAAACTTGATAAGCCGAACCGTTCGGACCGCGAAAAACGATCGGAACATTAAATTGTCCGCCCGACATGTAAAGCATTTTCGCCGCGTGATTGATGATCTGGTCAGCCGCCAAGATGCTGAAATTCCACGTCATAAATTCAACGACCGGACGCAAACCCGCCATCGCCGCGCCGACTCCGAGAGCCGCAAAACCGAGTTCGGTGATCGGCGAATCGACCACGCGCTTATCGCCGAATTCCTTCCAAAGTCCGCGCGTCACTTTATACGCGCCGTCATATTCGGCAACTTCTTCGCCGATGATGAAAACATTTTCGTCTCTGATTAATTCTTCACGAAGCGCGGCATTCAGCGCATCGCGGATTGTCATTTCTGCCATAATTATAAGTGAGCAGTAAACGGTGAGCCGTGAGCAGTTTTTAACTGTCGA